AATTTCTCCTTGTGGGATTTTCGGATTCCTGGGAGGTTCAGATCGTTCATGCTGTCCTGTTCCTGCTGGTTTACCTGGCAGCGCTCATGGGGAACCTCCTAATCGTCATACTTACCACTTTGGATGTTCACCTCCAAACCCCGATGTATTTTTTTTTGAGAAACTTGTCTTTCTTAGATTTTTGCTACATCTCTGTCACGGTTCCCAAATCTGTCATCAGCTCCTTGACTCACGATGCCTCCATTTCTCTCTTAGGATGTGCTCTGCAAGTCTTCTTTTTTATTGACTTGGCATCTACTGAGATAGCAATTCTGACGGTGATGTCCTATGACCGCTACGTGGCCATCTGCCAACCCCTGCACTACGAGGCCATCATGAGCCAAGGTGCCTGTCTGACGATGATGGCGGTGTCCTGGCTCAGCGGGGTGATCTGTGGGCTCATGCATGTGGGAGCAACCTTCTCCTTACCGTTCTGTGGGTCCAATAGAGTGCATCAGTTTTTCTGTGATATTTCACAGCTTCTAAGCCTCTTAGACTCCAAGGTAATCGTCGTTGAGATTGGAGTCATGGTTTTCATTACAAGTCTTGTGGTAATTTGCTTTGTTTCAATTACCCTCTCATATGCATACATTTTTTCTACCATTATGAGGATTCCATCCAAGGAAGGCAGATCAAGGACGTTTTCTACCTGCCTTCCACACCTCATGGTGGTAACGCTCTTTATGGTGTCTGGTAGCATCGCCTACATGAAACCGATCTCCAATTCTCCCTCAGCTTTGGACCTGCTCCTGTCTGTGTTCTACACGGTGGTGCCCCCCACCCTGAACCCGGTCATCTACAGTCTGCGGAACAAAGACATGAAGGCCGCCCTGCGAGGCGTGGTGTTCAATGTGGGGAATTTGATTAGGGGCCAGAACCCTTGAACCCTTGTTCTAGCCAGGCAATTGGTAAGATTTCTGAACCTAGATCCAAATCAATTGCTTAGCTCTGTTTTCTTTTTGATAGAATTTGGTTGTAATCTAGCAATACTCTTCAGATTTGGGTGAATCCAACTTGGAGTACAGTAAAAGGTGATTAAGAGTGTACAAATTTTAGAACATTTGCTTTCATGCATTTTGATTCTTAAAATTAAATATATTAATACAATATATTAACTAATATAAAAGTGAATTAATAATATGAAGTGGACTAATACATATTTGTATATTAATTATAGTAGAACAAGATCATATTTACTGAAACCAAACAAATGGAAATAAAAAGATAATATGGGCTCAGAATGTTTTCAAAATCACAAAATTGACTAAATTGGCTGGAGACCAGTGGTTTGGAGGCCAATTATAAAACTTAGGTATATAAATGTATGTGATGATTTGATAAAATTTAAGTTCATGGTAATGTGTTAGAAAATAGCACAGGGGAGAACATCCTTTTTCTCCCTTACATTAATAATAAACATGTTCCTCTGAAATCTCCTGAACCCCTTCTCCATCCCCTTCCCAGAGTAAAGCGCTCTCTGAAAGTGATGTGTCAGTCCAAGATGGCCTTTCTGCATATGCGAACTTGCCTAGATGTGTATCATATTTACTGAAACCAAACAAATGGAAATAAAAAGATAATATGGGCTCAGAATGTTTTCAAAATCACAAAATTGACTAAATTGGCTGGAGACCAGTGGTTTGGAGGCCAATTATAAAACTTAGGTATATAAATGTATGTGATGATTTGATAAAATTTAAATTCATGGTAATGTGTTAGAAAATAGCACAGGGGAGAACATCCTTTTTCTCCCTTACATTAATAATAAACATGTTCCTCTGAAATCTCCTGAACCCCTTCTCCATCCCCTTCCCAGAGTAAAGCGCTCTCTGAAAGTGATGTGTCAGTCCAAGATGGCCTTTCTGCATATGCGAACTTGCCTAGATGTGTATAATATCATTTTATGACTTAATATTTGAATAAAAATAATGTTATATCCTAGAGAGTCTTTTAAAGCTTGTTAAAATTTAATTTTTAATTGACTAATGATAATTGTGTATATTTAGGGCATATAATGAGATGTGTTGATACCTGTTTACAGTGTGGATTGATTAGTCAGGCTAATTAACTAATCTATCATCTCACATACTTACCTTTTTTATGTGTAGTGAAAACATTTAAAATCTATTCCTTATCAATTTTGAAACACACAATGCACCGTCCTGTGCAAGAGATCACTAGCACTTATCGCTCTGTCTGCTCCCCTGACCAATAGCTTTCCTTTTCCCACCCCATAGCCCACTTGCCTCTGTAATCATCCCACTTTCTACTTCAGTAGGTTCGACTTTTTGCATTCTGCATATATGTAGACCATGCAGTACTTGTCTTTCTCGGCCTGCCTTACATCTTTAGAACAATGTCTTCCAGGTTTACTCATGTTGTTGCAAATGACAAGATTCCTGTCCCCCTCTTTCAAGACTATATAGAATTTCATTACATTTTTGACACTGATTTTTTTTTGGCTATATGCCTAGAAGGAGATTAGTGAATCATATGGGAATTCTATATTGTTTTCTTAAGAGCCTTCATATAGTTTTCCTAACAGCTGTATTAATTTACATGCCCACTGACAGTATAAAATTGTTCTTTTTTCTATACCCACTTATAAACACTTTTGTGATAATAGTCATTCTAACATATAAGAGGTAATATCTCCTTGTGGTTTTAATTTGTGTTTGCCTGATAATTAGCGATGATCATTTTTTCATATATCTATTGGTTATTTCTATGTCATCTTTTGCAAAGTGTCTATTCTGATCCTTTGCCCATTTTAAACTAGGACTATATTATGTATTTATTTATTATTTATTTATTAAATGAGAGGGAGCAAGAGCTCATGCGAGACCCCTAACAGGGTCTTGTCTACAATGCTTTCTTCAGTTTTCCAGCTGGTCAGGCTCACAGGAGGGCTCACGGGCACACCTGGCATGTTCAGGTCGACCCAGGATTCAAATCTTGCTTTTATCCATCTTTTGGATTGTATTACTTATCTGGAATTCTTTGGATACCTTCTATATTTGTCCCTTGTCAGATGTACGGTTTGTAAACACTCTCTCCCAACATGTGGTCTCCACTCTATTGCCTGCTTCCTTCGCTATACAGAAGCTCTTTAGTTTTATGCAGTCTACCACATTTATTTATTTATCTTACTTATTTAACTTATTTAAACTTATTAGAGGACCTATACACTTACCAAAGAGAGACAGAGATAAGGGGGTGTGGTCACACCACAATCCCTTTTCCATTTGCCCATTCGGTTGGTATTTTTCCGGACATTAGGGCCAGGATTTAAACCATGAAGTTGGCCATGTGGGATTAGACTTCCTTAACCTCCAGGCTCTGGGAATGGTTCTATGCATAGTTTTTGTTTTTGTTTTTGTTTTGAAAGCTCACTAGCTGCAAATGTTTGTGTGCCCCAAATCCTGACAGGATGGAAAAATGAAAAAGAAGGGATTGCGGCATGAATACATCCTTATTGTTGGATGTTTGCTCTCTCGCTTTTTCTGTCTCTCTCTGACAAGCATATGTGCCCTATGGAAGTAAATATTAATTAGTTTAAATTTTTTTTAAAAAATAGTGACCGGAAGTTAGCATAATGGCTATGTCGCTGGACTCCCATGTAGTTGACTGTGGTTCAAGTCCCGGACCTAGTAGCTTAAATTCACGCCGGGCACACGTGTGTGCATGCCCAAGATCCCAGAGGAGAATGGAGGAGAAGGGAGTGAGGCGTGGCCACCACCCCCAGGTGGTGACTTCTCACTTTCTATCCCTCTGTCTCTTTCTGGTGAGCGCACATGCCCTATAGCAAAAATCTCTCAAAAATTTTTTAAAAATTTATAAAAATAAATGAAATGCAAAAACAAGTCATTGGCTTATAGAAGATTGGTTAGCACAGATGGAAGTGTACAGGGAACCAACAGCATCAACTTGAGTGCTAATCTTCATACTACTTCAAAGAACTGGAGAGTAAAACCATGGTCTAACTATCGCATTCTCACCAGAAAAAGCTGGAATTAATTATAGTACAATGCTAAGGATTGTTCAGAAACCTGAACTCTTCTTTGTCACAGGTGCAAAAAATGCGTATCAGTATATACTATATTTCAGCATGCACTTACTTAAAAAATAACAATTCAACTCCCAGGTCATTACCCAACCTTAAAAGCATGTGTGTGTAATCAAACAGATATGTCCAAGGACTGATTTGAACCACATTATTTGTAAGGGAGAAAAGTGAGCAACACCTCCAATGTTCATCAATGTTAGAATGAAAACAAACAAAAAACGTGTGACATATAATGAAATACCAGAGCAATTAATATGAGAGATGTAGGACTATATGAAACATATACATTACATATGTAAATATGCTTGAGGGTGTGTGTAATTGCCAGAGAGAGAGAGAAAGAGAGCGAGAGACAGAGAGAAAGGGAGGGGAGAAAGAACTCCCACGGTGACGGTCATGTTGTAGCCCCTTCCCCTTCATCTCTCCCTCCTTCCAGGTTCTGGACACGCATGCACACAGACTGAGCGTATTTCCGGCCCCCAGGTCCAGGACTGGAACAATGTGATCAGCCACGTGTGGAACAGTGTGATCAGCCACGTGTGGAACAGTGTGATCAGCCACGTGTGGTCTGGCTGCCTTAACCAGGCCATGGAATCGGCTCAATGTGGATATATTTGATTCACAAAATGTTATTATGGCCTGTAATGTTTTTGCTGAACGTTTTGTTATCAGTATAATTAGTGTTACTTTATTCATGACTTGATACTTTTATCTTTCTGTTTCTAGACTATCTTTTTTTTCTTTTTTGAAACTTTATTAATGCAACTCAGAGAAACTCTTTGAGTTAAAACTATGTGGGGACCTTTGGGTTTCTGCACCTGATGCCCACACAGCTCTCAGAACTTGGGAAGTTTTCAGTCATTATTTTATTAAATAGGTGCTCTATGATTTTTTCCATCTTTTCTCCTTTGAAACTCCCATAATGCAAATATTGGTTTGGTTAATATTGCGTCATAGGTTCTGAAGACATTTTTATTCTTTTTTGTTCTTCTTTCTTTTTCTAGAATGAAACAGCTTTATGAAAGGAAGTGTAGAGAGTAGACCACTCCATATGTGGAGCAGCCCCACAAGGGATGGATGACAGTTTTATTCCTTCTGAGAGGAAAAAGAAAACCAATCCCCTAAAGAAAAGACAGAAGTGCCACCCGGGGCATGGCAGCTTCCTTTACTTCTTTTTCTTTCTTTGTTCTTTTCACTGAGTTATTTCAAAATACCTGCTTTCAAATTCTCAAATTCTTTTGCCTGATGAAGTCTTTTTGGAATCTTTAATATTACATTATATTATTTATCAAATCATTTAGCCTGGGATTTGTTTGGTTCTTTTTTTATGATGTCTATCACTTTGTTGAATTTCTCATTCATACCTGAATTGCTTTCCTGATTCGTTACATTATCCACCTGTATTCTTTTGTAGCTCACTTAATTTTATTGTGGCTGTTATTTTATTTTTTTATTTGACAAAAGATGCATGTTCTCACTGGAGAGAGGGAAATCAAAAAAGCACCCTTGAGACCAGCAGTTAGCGTAATGGCTATGTCACTGGACTCCCACGTAGTCGACCGCGGCTCCAGTCAAAGACCCGGTGGCTTAAAACTCGTGCCGGGCACGTGTGCGTGCGTGCCCAAGATCCTGAGAGGAGAATGGAGGAGAAGGGATTGCGGCGTGGCCATCCCCTTAGAGGGTGATTTCTCGCTTTCTATCTCTCTGTCTGTCTCTGTCTGTCTGGCAAGCGCATGCGCCCTATAGCAAAAACCTCTCCAAAAAATAAAACAAGAAAGCACCCTTGTGGGGCATGGTCCCGCTGCAATCCCACCTCCA